GCCTTTATAACAGTTTTACTATCCTGGGCTCATATGATCACATTTGTAACTTTTCCAGCAAGTTTCCAACAAGCAAAGTTGAAAGGGCAAACCAGATTCATTTAACAACCACATGATTCTCTAAAAACTGACAAAAAAGTTTGTAAAATGGGGCGTAATTCACTTAAATGCCTCACTTAGCAATGGAAATGATGTGCTCAATTGTGGTCATCAAATTGAGGTCTACCTGTAAAATCACACCAATCAGAGGTGTGTTTAGAAACAAAACAAAGTCTCTCCGCCACCCAACCCATTGTTCAAGATGTAGTCTAAATGTAGAAGTGAGTCCTTCCTGTCCCAATCATCTCTTAAGAAACCTATTTTCTTTACTTTAAAAAGAATGAATATCTCTTAACACTCATTAATACATGAGCTGAGCCTCTTTGCTGCATGTATATCATGGTTGTCCAACTTTTTTTTTATAAAGATGTTATTGATTTTTTTCCCCATAAACATATGTTAATTTTTCCAATCAACGAGTTGTCTGGGATTAGCTATGCTAATACATATTCAATTCCTAATCCTTCATTCTTTCCTCTAACCAACAATAAAATAAATCCCAAGTTTGATAATAGTCTGTATCTTCTTTATCTTTCAGTCTCATAATTAGTCTGTCCATCTCTGCACATTCCAATATTTTCCTGATTATTTCTTCTTCTGATGGTAGTTCTTCATTCTTCCAGTATTGTGCAAAAATTATTCTCGCTGCTGTGGTAATGTGTAAGATTAAATATAGTCTCTGCTTATTAATCTTTTCAAGCATTATACCTAATAAAAAAAGTTCAGGTTTAAAATCAACTTGTTCACCCAATATTTTTTCTAACCACATATGTGGTTAGCCTTAGCCTTGTCACATGTCCACCAAATGTGGTAATACGTGTCTATATTATCTTTACATTTCCAACATCTATCTGACATATTTTTAAACATTTTTGCTAATCTTGCTGGTGGCAGGTGCCATCTATAAAACATTTTATACAAGTTTTCTTTATATGAAGTTGACATTGTTAGTTTGAAATTTCTCTCCCATAACATTTGCCATTTTTCTAGTTCTATATTATAGCCAAAATTTTTCGCCCATCTTATCATTGTTTCTTTCACTTGTTCACTTTCCATATCCAAAATTAATAATAAGTGTATTTTAGACATGACAGCTATTTTGTAATGAACTAAAGGAACTTTGGGCTACCCGAAATTTAAATACTATTGATACTAAGCTAACTGGAATACTGTAATTGAAATTAGATAAAATTCAAAAACAGGAGAATGAAGGCATATAAGTTAAAATATATTGATAAATGTCTTAACGGATTGAATTATAACTAGCAATGTATTAATTTGAATGTGATATAATAACTAAGGGAAATAGAGAGGAAATTTTTGATGATGTAACCTGACATATGTATGAAAGAGCTTGTTATTGGATTATGGATCACCCAATCACCATGTTGCTTCCTTAACACTTGGAGTTTTGTAAATTGAAAATTAATAAAACTTGTTTAAAAAAGAAGAAGAAGCCAGTGTGGGTTTTCTGATATATGAAGGTGATGATGAGGCATTGTAAACCAGGGGTCCTGCCTCTCCAGAATGGTAAACTGGAAGTGGACTGATAAGTGTATCTATAGTTTCTGACGCTTTGCTACATGCAGAGCATGCAGAGATGGAGGATTGTCTTTGGATTGTGAAGGCCAGAAGCAATCCTTCTTTGTTGGGTGCATCTTTTTGTTGTTCTTTTACCCATTTGCCAGCATGAGCTTTTTTTAACCAGTCTAAGGACAAATATCCAGCACTCAACTGGATAGGTAGACTGTGTTGGCAGAGCTATTCCTAATGCCAGGTAGATTAGTGAAGTTAATATTTACAGCTGAGCAGATTCACCAAGATGCAATAATTCTAGGTTTACCTTGCAAATGACAAATCGACATCTACCTTGTGCAGACTCTATATAAAACAAAGCTATAGTTTTGTTTTCTCATGAAATATTGTCCTTCTACTACATAGGCCATTATAATTGTTTAAAATATCTTTTCAGTTTTCTGGAAGATTACAAGACTCATTTTAAAAGTAGCATCTTCCATTTCTCTTGCCGAACTCAAAATAAGAAACAAATGGTGTGTGTGTGTGTGTGTGTGTGTGTGTGTGTGAAAGAGAGAGAGAGAGAGAGAGGGAGGGAGGGAGGGAGGGAGGAAGAGAGGGGGGAGGGAGGGAGAGAGTGTGTATTTTAAAGCTAGAAATTTGGAAGGTAGGTGTCTGGTGTCTCCTGTAGTCCAAACTAAGTTAATGAGGACAGTACTAAGCAGGTCAATAGGAGTTGAACAGATCCTAGCCCCTAAGCAT